CTTTCATTTGGATGGCAGGAAGGGACACAAGTAGATTTCAGTAGATTTTAAGCAGCCAAGTCCTCAAAACCTGATCCAAAAGGTCCTTCAGTCATAAATCCACATGGCAGCACCATTTCTGCTGCTGCTCCCAGTACATAGAAGCCATTGCACAGGAGGGGCCTTGCACAGTGATTGCAGATGTTGTAGAGATCAATATGAAGAACATGACCCCAAGCAGGCATCCTCAGGGGAGCCTGCATGGAGCACTCCTAGCAGAGCTGCAGCTACTGCAGTCTACTGCAGGTAATAATAACCATAGGCATTTTCTCTCAAATTTTAGCCAAGGAAAGGAAAGGTCTCTGATATTATGACTCAGTTAGACTATTAAAGGAAGTGGAAGACCTGAGTACTTAGCCTTCCTCAGTCTGAGAAGCTTCAGTCTGGTTATTAGTCAACAAAACTGCTTTAGCCACAAGGCTATAAACACGTAAGTATATTAGGTAACAGTGCATTTTAGCTCTCTTGCAGAAGCTTGGTTGTGCAAACAAGAATGCAAGAGCTGTAAGGATTTTTTGCTGAGCAGGGGTTGGAAGATAAACTCCTTGAATTACTTTGGAATGGAATATTGCTTGCTTGGTTGTTTAATCCAAAATGTTAGTTAGGCTAAAATCCAGAACCAGACTTCATCCTTAGAGCATGTTGAGTACAGAATTAGCAACTGGTATTACTGTCCTCTACTTCCATCAGTACATGTCTCTGTCGTAATGTTGCATCCAATCAGCATTCTGCTTGTTTTGCAGAATTGGAGAACTATAGTTAACTCCTCAGTTCTTCTTTTAGCATGTTCTTCCACTTTGAAGCACGTTCTTCTTCAGTTTCCAAAGTTACAGCCTCTAGACTCAATAGCTTTGATCCGCACTCAGAAAACTTTAAAATCACAGGTAACCAGCCCAACTGTTTTAGACACATTACAGGAAGTCTCAGCCCCTTGACAAATAAACAAGTGGGACATGCTTCCATTGTTTGCAGAGGGGTTTGCTTGTTATTCTCTTCTTCTTTTTTTTACCATAACCCTTTCCCCAGATTCATTTCAAGCACCTTATATTCAATGTGGCCAAAGAGTGGTTACATATGTACAAAGACCAGGTATTTAAACTTTTAATACTCTCAGGTCATGAACATTTTCTTAGCAATCATTCTTAAAAGTAAACTGGGTTTGAAAGAGGAGAGAAGAAAGACAGGATTTTGACTTAGTCAGGATTCTTGTTCCAGAACTTGGGGACTGAATCAAGAGCTGAGGATATACTCAGACACCCTAGAGGGAAGGGAGGCCATCCAGAGGGACCTTGACAGTCTGGAGAGGTGGCCCAGTGCCAACCTCATGAAGTTCAGCAAGGCCAAGTGCAAGGTCCTGCACCTGGGTCAGTGCAACCCCAGGCACAAATACAGGCTGGGGGGAGGATGGCTGGAGAGCCTTTCTTCTACTCTAAATGTTTTTAGCTTTTTCTTGTGGTAAATTGATACATCTGTCTATTAAATTTTAGCTTACAAAGTACTTTTATCTTTTTCACAGCTTTTGGTGATGCTGTGATTTTGCCCAAACTTTAAAAACTACCCATAACATTAGGGGCATATACAAGGAATAGAAATGTAAACGTCTGAAAGATAAGTGTAATTTAAAACTGTGATGGTGTCAAGAAGAACCATCATAATAGTTAAAAAATAATAAAAGGGAAATTTGGTGGTTTGTTTTTGTAGTTCAAGCAGAGAAAAGTAAACAAGATCTTGAACGACCTGGTGTACCTGCAGCTTGTCTTTTTTAATAGTCTACAACATTTTCTAGTCACAAACATTAAATAGTTTACTGGTTTTTTATTCTGAAGTCCCCAACATAAGAAGGACATAGAACTCGAGTATGTCCAGAAGAGAGCCATGAAGATGATCAGAGGACTGGAGCACCTCCCCTATGAAGACAGGCTAAGGAGGCTGGGGTTGTTCAGCCTAGAGAAGGGGAGGCTCTGTGGTGACCTTATAGCAACTTTCCAATATCTGATGGGAGGCTACAAGAAAGCTGGGGTAGGGCTTTTTACACAGATGTGTAGTGAGAGGACAAGGGGCAATGGTCTGAAGCTTAAAGAGGGGAGATTCAGGTTGGACATGAGAAAAAAGTTCTTTCCTGTGAGGGTGGTGAGACACTGGAACAGGTTGCCCAGGCAGGTTGTGGATGCTCCCTCCCTGGAGGTCTTCAAGACCAGGTTGCATGGGGCTCTGAGCAACTTGGTCTAGTGGAAGGTGTCCCTACCCATGTAGAGGGGTTGGAACTAGATGATCTTTAAGGTTCCTTCCAACCCAACCCATTCTATGATTCTAATGTCCTTTTTTAACAGTGCACACTAGTTCAAAAGAAGAAGGTAGAAAACAGAACAGTTTTCTAATACTAGGAATTATTCCCCATAGATACAGATAAAATCTCTTAACAGAATCTTGTTACTCACTGCCTGGATTTGCTTTTCTTTGCAACACATCCTAAAATCCTTAGTGAGACAAAATGTATGTGAAATTTGAATGCCAGGACTTCTTAATTGATTCCTATATCCTATATTCATAAAGTCTTTAAAATGTCTTTTAATGTCTTGAAAATCCCTTTTTTCAAGAATCAGATCTTTTTCCAAAACCATTAAATTGTCTTATGTTGCAAAGTATGTGTCCCGGTTTGACTCAGGATCTGCAGTTGAACCAGCGACAACAACGCTCTCAAATCCCCTCCCCCTCCTACCCAGGTAGGGAAGGAGAGAGAATGAGGGAGAGAGACTTCCCAGATTGAAAACTAAGCTAGACACCTTTAATTAAATACTAATGATAAAAGAAAATATGTACAATTATATACAAGTATGTTCAGGAATATGCAAAAGCCTGTGGCCTCCTCCCACCCCCAGCAACTCCCACAGCACCTCCTGAGCTGTGAGCAGTTCTGAAATGCCCCAGAGCTGCTGGAGAGAGAAACAGAGCAGACAGGAGCTGAGGGGAGAGTTGTGAGGATCAGAAATGCACAGGCCTGGGGATCAGTGGTGATGGAGAGTTGGAGTCCTCCCCAGATACTGGCCATGGATGGAAGACAAGGGCAGAAGAAGCAGGAAGAGGCTTGACTTCCATAGTCCCTGACCTTACACTCAGCTTACATAGATATAGGGAATGGAATACTTTGATCAATTTTGCTTTCCATCTAGTCCACTCCTCCCCATAGGAGGTTCCTCCTCCTATGGTTGCTCCTCTAGCATCTGAGGCTGCAGAGCAAAGTGATCTTGGCATCTCAGCAGTCACATAAACATTCCAGTGTTATCAGTCCACTAGCTGGAGAGCTTGCAGGTAGTTAAAAAAAAGATCCCTAAGAAAAGAAAAAAAATCAGTAAACAGAAAATGAGCTTCATCCTGGCTCAAACCAGGATAGTATGAGTGATGCCCACGTGGTGTTTGAGTCTCTACAATGGAAACCTGCAGACTCACCCTAGTAGTAACAGCTGTCACTAGTTACGTTTTATTAAAATCAAACGGCCTTGAGAATCTCACTAGAAATGTTAGTTACAATGAGATTGTGTCAGATATGAAACTGGATGTTACTGTCATATCCTTATACTTCTTATTTAACAGATAGCCTTGAAAAAAAAATGATAACGTGGCATTCACAGTGGGAATATCATAGTGGCTCCTACTGACATGCTTTATTCCCAGAAATTACTTTGCATGATGGCAATAAGCATAAGATTCTTTTAGTTCAAGTACAATATTCTGCCCAGATTTTGGTACTTGTGCTTTAAAGAAGCAGTCTGCTCAAATCATAATTAGCAGGGTTTACCTTTTTCTAATTACTGGCTCAAAGCCCAACTTTTCTCCTGTCTGAAGTATATTTACTTTGCAGACATAATGTGGTCATTTGGTGTTTGGTTCCATGAGGATTTACACGTACAAATTTTTAAGCAGATTGTGCTGGAGGTCACAAAAATTCTTCCATGAGGTTGTAACTTCATTTCAATGAATGCTTTTTTAAAAGCAGATGGTTGCAATCTTAGAAGTTTGGAGTTTTTTTAACTACAGTATACAAACTGCTTTAGGGCTAATAATTTTACTCTGTTCTCTACCATGCTCAATAAAGACCTTCCTTGCTTTAAAGAGTTTTTTGTCTCAGATAAAGAGAGAGACAGGCAGACAGATGGCATAATGCAAGGAAAAATCAGACTGGGTGTAAATTAATAAATGAATTCATCAGTGAGCTGCACAAATTACATTATGCACCTTTTTCTGTAACTTAGTAATTTACAGTTTAGGTAATTCGGTTTTTCATAAAATGTGAAATCCTGCAGCTGCTGCAGGCTACCACATTTTATTTTTCATTCACTGTTAGCCTTGTTCCTCCCAGTAATTTCAAAAATATTTTACAACCCTTTCAAGACTAATTTCACTTTGCAGGGTTCATCTGGGGCTCAGGGAGCCCCAAGAGGTCCCCCTTCTTTACAATTCATGGCTCTTAGGCAGTCCTGTGTGACAGCAATCTGAATTCCAGATAGCATGCTCGCCTGCAGCATTGCTCAGGGAGAAAGCAGTGCTGGCCTGCTCTGTTGAGATGACTGGATGACTGCACTTTACTTTGGTAATCCACGCTTTTTAAGCCTCTTTGGATAACTGATTAAGGAACCAAGCTAATACACCAGTATTATGAGTTCCATGACACAAACTAAATAGCTAGGCCAAGATTTTCGTTCCTAGTGGGGTTTTGGTGCTACCCCTAAGGTAATTAAATGGGGGTTACTGTTCAGGTTGCAGGAGGTGCCCACATCTCTTTGGGACCCATCTTCTGGCCAGCCAGCATATGACATGATGCCTGCTAGACTTCAGAGAAAGGATAAATCCCAAATCACCAGTAATTTTTAGTGTGACATTAGCCTTTTATTCTACAACTTACTGCATAGATAGCCACCTACAGAAGTACCACTATTTTAGTGGTTTTTTTTTCACATAAATTCAGGATGCTACATCAACAGCAGGTACTTGTCTTTGGAATATCACTAGCTAGTGGTTTATGTGCATTCAGAAGCTATTACTAAGAAGCCCAAGTCTCTATCTATCACTCCTGCACCCTTAAAGCTATTACACCTGTGCCAGAGCACACAATGAAGCTTTTATTAAGTTTCAACTATGTCAGACAAGTGACTGCAACCTCTTTTCCACTGCTGGAGCACTTGTTGGGAATTGGAATGCAGCATGTCTATCCTCTTACCATAGGAAAAGGAGCTTTCAGGAACCTGCCAAACCTTGCTGTCTTAGACTTGGGGTTCAGTAGGATTCTTGAACTGGATCTTGATTTTTTTGTGGGCTTGCCAAGTCTGACTGTACTCTGCCCATTTCAGAACCAGTTCAAGTTCAAGACTTGAGCTCGTTAGACGAATTGGATCTTTCAGGGAATGAAATCACAAAACTTCAGCCTCATTCCTTATTTTATAATCTAACATTCTTGAAAATTGTGAACCTGAAATTCAGTAAGATTTTCAACTTGTGTGTAAATTCTAATAATTTGTACAAGACAGATTAAATGGCTTGGGCCAAATGCTCAAATCCCTTCAGAAATATTACATTCAACTTATTAGACCTTAGTGACAATGGCTGAAGCACAGAGAAAGTAGAGTATTTCTGCACAGCCATTGAAGGGACTCAGATAAATTATTTAACTCTCATACAATGGATTCGGGATTTTGTTTTAATAACTTAAAAAATCCAGATAATTATATGTTTGCAGGAGAAGCAAGAAGTGATCTTGATATTTCACAAGGCTACATCTCTCTCATTTCTTTAATCTTTCAAAGTCTTGGCAATCTAGAATTGCTGAACCTCTTCAGAACAAGATAAATTCAAAGGCAAACATTTTTTGGCTTGGGAAACCTAAAGGCCCTCAATCTTTCAAGGAATCTTTTAGGTGAGTTGCATGATTATACTTTTGAGGGTCCACACAATGTAACGTACATTGATTTACAGCAAAACTATATTGGGATGATTGGTGAAAAATCATTCAGTAACTTCAATGCCATTAAAAAACTCCCTTCCTTTTCACATCTGATCTCTGCCTTTTTAGGTGACAGTAAGCTAATGTCTGTAATTGGCAGGGCAATAGCAGCAACACACATTGAATTAGAAAGAAATTAGTTGGCAAACCTTGGTGACCTGTATATTCTTTTCTAATTTCCAGATGTGCAGTATATCTTCTTAAAACAGAATTGCTTCTCTTACTGTGTGAAAAGTAGTAACATTATAAAAAATAGTTAACCTATATGGATCTAAGTGAAAATATGTTACAGCTTGTGTGGGAGAGAAATTTATGTTTGGATGTGTTCAGTGCACTGTCCAAACTTCATGTTGTACATCTGAATAACAGCTACCTTAGTGCTCTTCCACAGGAGATTTTTAGAGGTCTAACATCACTAAAAGGACATAATCTAGATTCCAACCTACTGTCTCACCTTTCTCCTGTGGTTTTTCCACAAAGCCTAACAAACCTAAACTTATCTGAAAACCAGCCTTTTTCCTCCTAACCCAAAGTCTTTATGACTTTGAGTATTCTAGATATAACACATAATAACTATGTCTGTGATTGCAATTTAAAAAGCCCACTAGTGTGGCTAAATGAAACCAGTGTATCCCTAGCTGGCTCACAAGCTGACAGATACTGTGTATATCCACCTGCATTTGCAGGGGTACTACTGTTGTCTCTGATGATGGCTGCAATGAAGATTAACTCCATCAGGCACACAGGTTCTCAGTATTCATCTTCACTTCTGTCACTCTTCTAATGTTTCTGATGGTAATAATTATTTTTATTCACTGTCGGGGAATTTGTTTTATCTGGTATAAAACTATCACCCAAAATATTATAGACAGACATGCATAAGTAGCAGGTAAAAATTAATAAAGATATGCATCATATTTCTGCTACAGCAAAAATTACTTTGAATGGGTCCAGAATTCTTTGCTTAGCCACCTGGATTCACACTATGTTGATAAAAACAGATTTACTTTGTGCTTTGAGGAAAGAGATTTCTTGCCTGGGAAGGAACATATCAACAATAATTGTGATGCCATTTGGAACAGCAGAAAAATAATCTGCATTGTGACCAGGCAGTTTCTCAAAGATGGGTGGTGTGTGGAAGCCTTTAATTTTGCCCAGAGCAGGTACTTTAGTGGTCTAAAAGATGTCCTCAGTATGCTAGTGCTTGGGTCACTTTCTCCATATCAACTGAGGAAACATAAACCAATTTTTTTTACAAAAAAGTTGTTATCTGCAGTGGCCTGAAGATTATCACAATGTAGACTGGTTTTTAAATAACCTATCTTGCCAAATTCTGAAGGAAGAAAAAGTGCAAAGGAAAGCCAGCGATACAGAGCTGCAGACTGTAGCAGCACTCTCGTGTTGGTGTTGTATGGGTTGCTAGCTTTCTAAATGCTCCATTTCCAGCAGTGCCATGGCAGGAGTAAACAGAAGTTAGCTTCACCTTTCCTTGAAAAAGCAGGTGGAAAGATAATTTTCAGTATGAATCCTACTAAACATGGAGACAGTTTGAAAGCAACCAGCAAATATATTGAATATATTTTATGGACTATGACACACATTTTCAGAAGAATTAAATGAGTCACAGATGCTTAACATTTTGAATGCTTGGCTTCAGACACCTCAGTCCTAATTTTCAGAGTGCTACTTACTTACAGGTCTGTTTCAGTTTGAGAAAGATGCCCATGGTTGTTTTTTTAAAAAAAGCCTATGGTACCGCACAGGAGTCACTAAAAGTATGCTTTCATGTATGCCCTCGCCTGACCATTGGTTCATGGATAGTTACTCTAGGGATTTCTGAATGCTGTAACTTTTCATGCTTTGTTTCAAAGGAGAATCAGTACTTCACACCTTCGTGCTTTAAACTGGCATAGCACAGGCTTAATTTACTCAATTAGCCTCAGCCTCTCAACTGGAACGCACAAACTTTGACCTTCGTTCATCCCCTTCCCCTCCACATCTTCTCCACTTGGTGATAAAACCATGGTTGTTAGTTTACCTCATTTGCTGGTGTTTCAGCCTGGTGCTTTTTCAGTTGAGTTGCCTGCTGCTCTGCAGAGGAACAGGTATCCCCTTCAGATCTGAAGCAGGTCTGGGCTTGAAAAGGAAACTACGTCAGCAGCCCTGCAAGCTGTGCCCTGGTGACATAGCCAATAGCCCAGGCATTGCCAGACAGCTTGCACATTCTGGGAGTGGAAAGTACAGACAAATAGTGTGCAATTTGGGCTGTACAACCTGTGTCTTGATAAATTCTAAGGGTTTTTTCTGCTTCTATTGAATTTTTTTTTTCTAGATTCATTAATGCCAGGTACAAGTCACCACTGTTTGTTCAGGTATGTGTCCTCAGGGGGTTGTTCAGGGTAATTTTAATAAAAGTCTGGGTCAAACCCTGCACCTATTATCTGTATGGTGACATACTCCTCGAGTGTACTGTTCCTCTCAGTTTATACATTTATTCAGCAAAAGCTTACCAAAGCATGGCCTCAGTGAGGAAGCAGGAATTGGAGGCTTTATAAGCTGTGGGTCTTGATGTTAGCTGCAAAAAATAATGCAATGTTAACTATTTTGATAGAGATGGAAAAGTACAATCACGTTCACGTGAACGCAGCTGTTTGAATAAAGATGTGCCTGTGGCTGATCTCATTTACTCTCAGTGCACTAGTATCCAGGATTCCTATTGATAAAATTACTGCGGTAAAAACCCGACTTCTTTCTCCATCGGTGCAGGCAGAGACAGAAAAAGGATCAACCTCGGAGAACTGTCCAGATGGTGGCGGGGTGGAGTGGATGAAGGAAGGGCCAGACCGTGTCGCTGTCGGCTCAGGCAGCGGTTCGAGCTCCCTCGGCTCCTTCTGCCTCCCCTCCCCTCCCCTGCTGGCCCCAAGGAAAAAACAATCCTGCTGCAGAGGCAAGTCTGAAAGAGAACCAGCCGCTCTGGCTTCCCAGAGCTATCAGAAAACCCACCGCTTGCCTTTCAGCTCCTTCCATCCCAGCTCCATTCGTAAATGTCCTCATTTTTTTTCCTTTTTTGCTCCCCAACCAGTGCAAATATTTATAGGCATCCTTTTCAGTTGGAGGTTGTACCAGGGAGTA